CATTCCAGCTTTGGGCATTTTGTTTGGCTCTCGCAACACTTTGCCATGCTGTTATGGACTGAATGTTTGTTTCTCCCACCAGACTCACATGGTAAAGCCCTAACCTCAATGTGATGGTATTTGGAAATGGGGTCTGTGGGCGATAATTAGGGTTCGGTGAGGTCATGAAGGTGGGGCTTTGCTGATAGCTTCAAGTCCTTAGAAAGAAGAGATACCAGAGAACTTGCCCTCTGCTATCTTGTTGCCACTCCTTAATAAGTATAATAAGAGGTCATGTGAGCACACAGGGAGACTGCAGCCACCTACAAACCAAGAGAAAAGGTCTTGAAATGAAACCATCTCGTCAGCATCTCGATCTTGGACTTCCCAGCCTCCAGACAATGAGAAATAAATTTTTGTTGTTTAGCTGACAAAGACCTACATACTACCACTGTTTTCTTTTTTGAGCAGTTCCTTTTTGGCACTGTAAGTCACTCTAGGCTCATCTTCTGTATTTCCTGTCCCAGACCTAGAATCAGGCATTTTTCCAAGGAGCCTGGTTCCTTTTAGTAGAGAATGGTATTAAAAATCAAGAGCTGGCTTCTAGTTAGCAAATTATTTTTGGATGGTGTCTTAGCTATTTTCTCATTGCTGAGCAACAATACCCTACATCCACAACTTAAAGGAGGAAAGGCTTATTTTGGCTCACAGTTTGTAGAGGATTCAGTCCATAGTCTGCTGGCTCCAAGTCAGGGCAGCATGGCAGAGTAGAAGCAGCTCATGGCGTGGCAGTGGGAGGTGGAGAGAGGGATCAAGGGAGAAGGGAAGGATGTAGACAATTCCAGGCCACGCCCCCAGGAACCTACCTCCTCCAACCATGCTTCATCTCCCAAATCATATTTAGCTATAAACTCACCAGTGGGGTAATCTGCTGATGAGGACCCCATGTTAATGATCCAATCACTCCCCAGAGCCCCAACTATGAGTGCATGAGGCTCTGGGGGTATCTAGATATAAACCCTAAATGTGGGCAAATAAATAAACATTCATTTTTATGCTTCCTATGAGCCAGGAACTAGCTCCTTTCTATGTCTGCCTACTTAATCCTCATAACAATTCTATGGAGTATTCTCTGTCACCCTGCTCTACAGATAAGGTGTGAAGGTTTAGCCAGATTAAACGCTAGTCAACACCATCCTGTTTTATCTCCAAACCCCATCACACTGCCTGATGGAGACTGGTGTTACATTCATCCCAAATAAACAAAAATTATTTATCCTAAGTTTTAGGCTAATATATTTCATAGGCACTGGGTTAATTTGCACTACAATCATTATGGAACATGTAATTATGTTTACTCAGTGGAGTGACGTTATAAGACCCTTCTGGACCCACAAGGAATGCAGATTATCTGTTTTGATGGGTACAGATGTCACACAGCTCTCCTCATGTGCGAAGATGACAGGCGCCTCTCTTCTTGTGCTCATGTTGCATCCATCCATCCTATGTGCACAGATGATACATCTTACATCACAGGATAATGAAATCTGACATGCAGAAACTGCTTTATAACAGACATTCATAATATCTACCAATTTTTCAAGTTTGAACCTCTTTTGTGCAAAGGATTCACTATGAACTTAGGAATGTTCTAAGGCAAGCATTTAGTGTCTTAGCTGTCGAGATGCCAAATAATGCTCCCAAAGGTAAAACTCTGGGGGTCTAAATTTTGCCCTCAAGGATGGGAGTCATATGGCATTAGAAAGAACAAATCAGGCTGCCAAAGTGACTAAGGCAGAGTGATCTGCAATTTGAAGTGGATATTCATGGCTTTGTTGGCTTAGCACCCCACTTCTGAGAAGTGCCTCTGCCTCCTCTTGAGAGCTGGCATATTATTATAAGGTGACCTGCTCCTGGCCTGTTGATCAAAGATGAGCACTTGCCCCAGCTGGGCCAATCCTACAGTCTTTGCCTTGTACTTTTGGAATAGGAACTTTAAAAAGAGAGTTGGTACTTCTTTTTTTTTTTTGGTACCGGGGATCAAACTCAAGACCTTGCACTTGCGAGGCAGGCAGCGGAACCACTGAGCTAAATCTCCGGCCCTAGAGAGTTGGTATTTCTTTAGTGACTGAAGATGTGAACACTGAGGTGGCCAGTGGTCATGTGAAGAAACTGTTAAGCAGAAAGAGTAAAGAAATCAATATGTGCACACACACACACACACACAGATCTCTGAGTTCTTAGTTCTGGATCTAACATGACATAGGTACTTTATGAAGAGAGCGCTAACATTTTTCACCAAATCCTTTTTTATGCTAAGGCTGGTCAGGGATGGTTTTTACTTACTACCAATCAAAAGAGCCCTAACCAATGCAGAATGATGTATAATTAGTGGCATATCATTGTTTTTTTGTTTTTTGTTTTTTGTTTTGGTACTGGGGATCAAACTCAGGACCTTACGCTTTTGAGGCAGGTGTCAAAACCACTGAGCTAAATCCCTGGCCCTATATCATTGTTAATACATCACAAATAAATATTTTCTGAGACTCAAACCTGTGGCAGACAATTTTTTAGTTCTCAAATACTACAGATACAGCCAGGTGCAGTGGCATATGCCTAGTAATTCCAGCTACTCTGGAATCTGAGGCAGGAGGATCACAAATTTGAGGCCCTGTCTCAAAATAAAATATAAAAGGGGCTTGGGATATAGCTCAGTGGTAGAGTGGCCCAGGGTTCAATCCCTAGTATTAGAAAAAAATTAAAAGACACAGTTCAGATCTCTTACCAAGGGTGATTGATGTTATATTACTTTTTCAGACATTTTCTAAATGAACACATAATAATTTATCTTAACTTTGCATAGTTAATTTCTTTTCTCTTTTTTTTTTGGTACTGGGGATTGAACTCGGGACCTTGTGCTTTGGAGGCAGCTAAATTCCCTGAGCTAAATTCCCAGCCCTGCAAAGTTAATTTCTAGTGATCTGGCTTTCAAGAAATAAGATTTCAGGGCTGAGGATTTAGCTCAGTGGTTCTGCCACCTGCTTCACAAGTGTAAGGTCCTGAGTTTGATCCCCGGTACCAAAAAAAAAAAAAAGAAAGAAATAAGGTTTCAAATTACCAGTTTTTTTTTTCTCCAGTTTTACTTTTTGGATCTGGTAACTAGGGGCATTATTCTTCAAAAACACCTTAAGGGATACAACATAGAGTCAACATTAACACTCTTGTTCTTTGAGGCAGTGTCTCACTAAGTTGCCCAAACTGGGATCAAATATGCAATTCTGTCTCGGCCTTCCAGAGTGCTGGGACTACAGGTGTCTGCCACCACGCCCTGCCAGAGCTTCCTCTTAGGGTAAACCTCAGAACGCTGTTTTGGGCCACATCGGCTTGATTATCTTACCAGTCTTTACTGGGGCCCTCCGCTTTGGCCCACCTTGGCCTTAGATTTCTCCCGTCACGTGACCAGTAGACAAGCCATTCCCTGACTGGCATAGTCACTTCATCTGTGCCACTTAGCCAAATCCTTCTCATCTTTCAGGTCATCCCTGACTCATCAGGCTTATTGTACTCCCGTAGTATCTATGGAAGTGGTAATTGAAAAATGGTGTTGATTACTGAATACCTGTCTCCCTGGCTCTAAGCGTAAGCTCTGTGTAGGCAAGGATTGTGTCCTTTCACTGCTAAACTTCCAACACTTGGCCCACAGCTTAGCACAGTTGCCACCAAATATATATTTGTAAACTGAGTAGATAAAAGAATTACCAGCTACCAGCTGAAGAGGAAATGAATACCATAGTCTCTTGGGTGTGGAAGGCCTGCCCAGACAGACACAGAATGCTGGAGCAGCTCGACAGAATGGTTAGCAAAACCAGAGACAACTGAATGCACCTACACAAGTGTTTTTTTCCCTATACAACTTTTAAGTGATTAGGAAATCTTAAGGTTAAAGTTGGATGTTATAAGCAACAAAACAGTCCAATAGTGGTAAAATATTAAAGAAAATTTGCCTCAGAACACAGCCTTGTGAAGGAGACATACTGCTTTTGTTGATAATGTGTTATTCTCCCAAGCGTGCATTTATGGTTATCATCATTCACTCTTATTTATTTTTGCCAGTATTGAGAATCTAACCTAGAGATGCTCTACCACTGAATTACAACATTAGCTCTTTTTATTTTTTTGAGACAGGGCCTTGCTAAATTGCCCTGGTTGGCGTCGGACTTGTGAGCCTGTGGTTTTTTTGGTACCGGGGATCGAACTCGGGACCTTGCGCTTGCAAGGCAGGCGCCGAAACTTGTGATCCTTTTGTCTCAGCTATCACAGCAGTTGTACCACCGCGCCTAGCCACTTTTTTTTTTTTTTGCAGATGCTTTAACATCTCTTAGTGATTCCTCGAAACAGGCAGATCTGCTCCCATGGCTCGGCGATGAAGAAACATTTCCTCTTTCACAGCGTCTGTATTTTTGAACGATAAGAATTGCTAAAGAGGAAGCAATCAAACCTATCAGGCAGGCTCTGTCCGCCACCCAAGGCGATGCTTCCTGGTTTTAAAAGACGCTTTCAGATCCTCCTGTGAATTGCCTTAGATAAACCAAACTGGATTATGCCTCACTTGTTCACCTAGAAGATACCACCAAGGAATGAATTTTCGCAAATTCAATTTATTTCACCACAACGAACCAGTCTCCAGTTTGCACGAACGAGACAGCAACACGAGTTTTACACTGGAAAAAGTTTGCTGCATTCGTGTTTTTCTCCCGACACACACACACACGCACGCACGCAGCAGTCACCCTCGGGGCCGTGAAGGTCCGGGACTTCCCTCCAGTCGCTATCATCCGGGGACCCCCACCCCGCCCCGAGGAGGCGGGTCTGCTGGGAGTTCCGGAAAATTCCGCGAGGAACGTAGCGGGGGCTCCCAAAGGACACTGTGAAACCAAAACAGAAATCTGTGACTCAAAAGTCCACCGCAGGAAATGCTGTTTTCCAGACAGGTGTCTCTCTCCCGAGGATATGGTTTTCAAGTCTCCGACTCCAACAGAACTTTCCTCGTCACCAATCGCCCTCAACTCCGAGCCGGTGTCACCCGACGCCACACCCGCCACTCCCGCCGGCCCCAAGGCGCGGAGGTCAACGCCTCTGCCCCGGGCCCGCCTCCCACAGCCAGACTGCCTGTGATTGGCTAATGGCGCTGCCCGTCTAGAGGGGCGGTGCATCTCCCTCAGACCGGTGCTCTCATTGGTCTTGGAGGCGGCGGCGGCGCGCGCCGTCCCGGCGAGGAGGGGAAGCCGGTGGCCGTGGTGGCGGAACGGGCGGTGGCTACCGGTTTCGTAATCGTCCCACCTCCTAGCTGACTCGCGGGGTGGGAGACCTGGGTCGGGTTGGGCCGCCGCGCGGGGCCGCTCGGAGTGGAGGCCGCCTGGGGGCGGGCCGGCTGGAGGCGCAGGTAAGGAGGCCGCGGTGGGCGGGCGAGAGAGTGGAGGAAGAAGAGAGGGAGGCCGCGGCTGAGCCGGCTGATTGCGTGGGGTCGGGCCCGGCCCTGGCCTGGAAGGCCCCTCGCGGCCCTAGTCACAGGCCGGGGCCCCGCGCGGCGTCTGATGCAACCTGCGGGCAACACCGGCGAGGCTGAGCTCATCCCTGGCCGCCGCCCAGCGTCCAGGCGCCGCCCGCCGCCCCCCGCGCTCCCCCGGGCGCCTCTCGCTGCCGGGCTGCGGACGGGGTGTGCTCCCCTCCAAAACCCGGCCCTCCGCCTGTGAAACGCGCTGCGTGACAAGCCAGGCTCGCATTGGCCCCCGGGGATGAAAGGTGTTCCCAGAATAGAAGGCGGACCATATCTTAGTTTACTGCCACATAGGATGTTTCCTGTTGCCCTGAAAGGGCGTTGTGAGGGGTGGACCAGAATTCTGCTCAGAGTGATAGGGAAAGCGAGTTGTATAAATGCATAGCTTTTTTTGTTGGTACTGGGGGTTGAACTCAGGGCCTATGCAGCATATTTTTATTTTTTATTTTGAGGCAGGGTCTCTCGTTGCTAAATTGCCCAGGCTGGGGTCCAATTTCCGATCTCCCCGAGTCAGCCTCCTACAGTGCTGGTATTACAGGCCTGCACCACCTTAAGTACATAGCTTTTTTACAGAAAAAAATATTTTGCTTGTATATTCTTGCAGTTCACTGTGGAACATCGTCTAAAACATGGTGCGACCACGAATTGAATAGAAAGAAACGAGTAAGCAGTGAAACTCCCTTTAGCATGGTTGAAAGGAACACGGGAAAATAGCCAACTGAGGTGTGCAGGAGGAGAGGATAGGAATGCACGTATGAGCAGAAGGATAGTCTCTTTTCAAGTAACTTTTATGTTTCTGGTCTTCAGGAGGTTGAAATGTTTGGGCTTTCACTTGTATGAAGTTTATACTGTGAGCTAGCATCCTAAAGTGGGTCCACAGTAGAAAAGCTTTAATGTTGGTGGGTTGCACAAAAATTAGGAATTCTGTCTCTTAGCTTACACTCACCTCATTTGATTATGATTTAATGCAAACCTGTTTCCCTTCAAAATGTGACTCCTAAAGAAAATACTGTGAGGGCTTGTTTTACTAAGAAATTCTACACCTGAACGGATTTTTTTTTTTTTTTTTGTGGTCCTGGGGATGGAACCCTGGGTGTTGTGCGTGCTGGGTGGCGGGGGCACTTTACCTCTGAGCTGCACCCCCAGGCCTGTACATTCACATTTAACATCTAGTTAGGTATTACCACTTGGATAAGCTATTTGGGATAAGCTGTTCTCCAGGTTAGTTCTCTGTTTCTGCAGAGACTATAAACAAGGTTAAATAATTACAGGATGCCACTAAGCTGAAGAATATTTCAGTCTCTTGTTTCCTGCTTCTGGAGAGCACAGTTGGCTGGTTCAGTTTTTTTTTTTTAATACATGCCTTAAAAAAAAATACAGGTGAAAACAAAACTCCATTTTTTCAAAATATCCTTTAAATTCCCAAGAGTCCATTATATTGTCAGCATGGCTTTGTGATCTTGGAGAAGTGATTTCATCTCTGGGGAATTACACAGCACATGGTGAGCCACTGAGCAACACACATAGGGCCTTGTCAGGCTGAATTTAGTCTTAGGGTCTGAAGTGCCTCACCTGCTCCCAGTAATGATAACTAGGCGTAGCCACAATTCCAAGTTTATCACTGAGAGGTCTGGTGAAGAAAATTGAGCATGAGCTTCTGATAGAGCTTCTGTATCTATTTGTTTTATATGTTGTAAATCACACCATAGTTATTTTTAAAAGATGCCATTAAAACAAACATATTCTTCTCATACCCCACTGGACTGTTTACGTTCTCCTTGCAAGGATGGCCCTTCCTTCATGGACTCCACTAGGTGCTGGACATGTGAAGATGAACAGCCTGCCTCTGACGTAGCCTACAGGGAGTTGGATTTGACAGACTGAGAGAACAAATTGGACAGAAGTGCAAAGCAAAGAGAAAGCAGAGATCTTTTAGGAGACTCATAGTGATTTGATATTGTTGAAGAGTAAAGAAGCAGGGGCTGGTGAGAGGGATAGGACCCTGGGTTCGATCCTGTAGTCTGCAGCCACAGACAGATTGTCAGCAGAGGGTGTGACACACTCAGATTTGTGTCAGATTGCTGTAGGGACAGTGGTTGGTGGGAATGCTGCCAAACCAGAGACTGGTGGCCCTGAGAGATGATGTCACCTGAAGTAAGTTCTGTGGCGTTGGGATGGAGCAGAGTGGTAGGTGTGTTATTCTTTTGTTTGTGATAAAACTGTCAGATTCCCAAGGATTGAACAGATTTGGGGCAAGGGAGAAGCACCTGTGAATATTTTGAAGAGTTGACTCTCACTAAGGAAAATGAGTGAAAAGTCTATTTTGGCAGAGAAATATCTCATTCTAGTATATGAAAAAAGAGACAAATGGGCTAGGAAAATTCTTGACAGGTTTATTTCCCCAAATGATACTTAAGAAAATTTTGATTTTCTTTCACTCATTCTAACATTCCAGGTTTTTAGTACGTTACTGACTGTTGCTTGAATTAAGAAATTTGAATGTGAAAAAAAGCTATTATTCGTATAGGCCAGATTCTTAAGATCAATTGCGTATTTACAGCAGAAGCTCAAACTAAAGCAATACCAGAATTACTTGGAAGACCCCATAAAACAAAACTGTGCAGACCTGTGCCCAGAACTCATTTGTAGGTCCGGGGAACCTGAGAATTAACATTTCTAAAAAGTTTCTGAATGATGATGCTGGTCCAGGGATCCCACTGTAAGAACTGTTCTTTCCCTTTCCTATGGCTTCCCACTTGAACGCTTCACTTGCAAGGAAGCAGGCACCACCCTGCTTCAGTAGACTGAACTTTGGAATAGTATTTGTTGACATAGGAGCCACACTTTCACTTAGGTTTAAATTTGAAGTAAACTAACTTTTAGGTTTGTTGTAGGTGCTTAGTAAATGTTTATAGGAGGAACAACAGTGTAAGTGACAGTGCCTTGTTCAGTATAAAAGCAAAGTTGACAAACTGCAGTTGTCTTCTAAATCACTTAGCTATTTGATCTGCTTTGCTTGGTTAATTTTCTCTTCACTTTAAGAGCTACTTTCCTGGCTTGCCTATTGTTGAAGAACTTAAAAAAAAAAAATTCATGAACTTTTACAGATTGGTAGGTTCAGTGAATACTCTTATTTTTCAAGCCAAAAGACTCACTTCAAACCTTGCCTTCTTTGTTTAGTGTAGGGCCTTGGAGAGATGAGTCAGGCTGAGGTAAATGAGCCCTTCCCTATTCCTGTACCTTTGGGTACTGAAACAGGCAGGAATGTCACTGAGTTTGGAGCCTGTCATGAGTAAGAGTGACTAGAGTTGACAGTACTCTGTCAGTCATGTGCAGCTGGGAAACTGAAGCCCGAGAAGGGAAGGGGTATGGGCAGCGTGAAGCTGTGGGAGCCAGGACCAAGTAAGGTTTGACACGGTTTTTAGCCTGTACTTCTTGGCTCTCTGAACTTAGGCCACACTGACTGTAGAGATTGGCTTTAAAGATTTGTGAATATAAATTAATATATAAAAAACTTAAAAAGTAGATAATTAAGATATGACTGTGATTAAGACAGTCCCAGGACAGGTGTTCAAATTCTCAACAATTGGATGAAACATTTATATTCCCTTTATACCTTTATATCCCTAGATAACACTAGTGTTAGATGACAGCAAGGGTGGCTCAAAGTAATATTGAATAGTCACTTTTTAACTGGAAGACAAATTAGGCCACATAATAAATTTTCAAAGAAAATTGTGAATTGCCTGTTACTGAAGATGGGCTTCGAGTTTGGAAGGGAGCTATCTTGCCTAGTGCTGGAGTGAGGACAGATAATCCACTAGCTCAGGGCTGTTTGGGTGGCTTTTGAAACAACTGAAAGTAATGATGTATGGACTTTTAAAAGCAAAGATTGGAAAAAACAAAAACAGACTAACAGTGTTTACAGGAATGCCTGGCTAAAGTTTTGGGTGAAGCTACTGGTGTTTACTAAGTGAACTTTCCTTAATAACTGGGATGTTCTTATTTGGGACAGTTTCATAATTCTGAGCCTAGGTTTTTTCCACTGTTGTATTTTAGCAGTTTTGTGAGAACAAGGTAGTTTTATGGCCCATAACACTGCTTTCTAAAGTCCTGAATGCTGTGACTTCTTGGTGGACACAGTTCACTTAGATTCTTGTGTGTTGGCCTCATGATAGGAGAGGTGTGCTTTGATACTTCTTCAGGCAGCTGTGGGGACTTAACTGAATTCTGAGGCATCCAAATCTGAGTAGTTTTTGAAGCTGTGACTTCATTTCTTATGTGCAGCACCACAGTAGCGCTTCAGAACTAGCATGTCCTTCGAGCTCATTTAGTGACAGACAAGTGAGTGCCAGCTCTGCAGTTGCTCAGTTCCTTCATCCAGCCTGAGTCTCACTACTTGCATTTCCTTGGTTGTATCATTAGGGCTTTTCTTTTTTCTTTATGGTTTCAGGTTGAGAATATTTAGATGTTTTATTAGTTATGTCAGGAAGAAAAAACATCAGAAGCCTGGTAAATGGTAGCACACACTGGGTGTCTCAGAGTTCTTAAATCCAAGAAACCAACTTAGTGAATGCAGTAAGCTCTCACTTGAGATTTGCTAAAGCAAAAACCCCTTTTAAAATTATTCCATAAAGATAGCTATGGGAACAAAGTCCAGTCTTGATGAGTCACTCTGCGTGTTCGCATAAGGAACATGCTGAGATCGTAGCACAGTTTTCCTCATGAATACTGCAGACTGGGCACTCCACTCCAACTTTCTCATTAGACTTGAACCATATATTTAAACTTTGTCCCCCTTTCCTTGTAGGTTCTTTTGTACCATAATTGAACTCAGCTTTTCATAGTTAACCCAAACAGCTCAGATTTCTCTCTGGCAGATTATCAAGTGCTGTTAGTTTCTGCGTGTCACCTAATTAGTGGTATTCTTTTGTTTTTCTTCCCTTTGTGTATAAGAATCACAGATGGGCAGTACCCTCGGGGATTCAGATGGGCTGGGTTTGGCCTTATGGTCTTCTGTACTAACTCCCCTTTCTAAATTAAATGCTTTAGACTTCTGAAACATTGGAACAGTCAGTTGGCAGGTGCTGTAGACTTTTGTTAGCATGATCAATTAATGGTGGCCTGCTGTGTTAGGTACATACAAATGTAAGCTCATTTGTTTGTCATTTTAAGTATTTTAATGGAGTTTGTTATTTTTTTTTTTAATAGGTACATGTGAAGATTTTTTGGCAGTTTATTGTGGAAGCGACTGATCACCTTGCTCTCATTTCTACCTGACCTGTGTTGGCAAGGGAGAGTGCCCAAATGAGCAAGATAGCGCAGCAAAACAGTAGTACTCCAGGAGTGAACGGAATAAGTGTTATTCACACTCAGCCACATGCCAGCGGCTTGCAGCAGGTTCCTCAGCTGGTGCCTGCTGGCCCTGGGGGAGGAGGCAAAGCCGTGCCTCCAAGCAAGCAGAGCAAAAAGAGTTCGCCCATGGATCGAAATAGTGACGAGTATCGTCAGCGCAGAGAGAGGAACAACATGGCTGTGAAAAAGAGCAGATTGAAAAGCAAGCAGAAAGCACAAGACACGCTGCAAAGAGTGAATCAGCTCAAAGAAGAGAATGAACGCTTGGAAGCAAAAATTAAATTGCTGACAAAAGAATTAAGTGTACTAAAAGATTTGTTTCTTGAGCATGCACACAACCTTGCAGACAACGTGCAGCCCATTAGCACTGAAACTACAACAACAAATTCTGATACTGCAGGACAGTAGACCTCAACCTTCCCAGACTTCACAGCTGTGGCTTGAACATTAAAGGTGTGACCACCTACAGCACTCAGATGTTCATGGCTCAATGCCATCTTTTTCCATTATTCAAAGATCCATTGGAGGTTATTTTCTAGGATCAGCACTGAAGAGTTGAGTAGCAGTGTCGATTAAATATATGGCTTTAAATGAGGTGGATTTTTGTGGCAATTGAAAAACAAAAATTTTTAAAGTATATGGTAAACATATCCTGGACAAACATATCCTGGACCTTAATGTTCTTAATAAGTCCTGACTTCCCCAGAAATACTTTTTTAATTTGACAAAAGGAGTGGGAAACTGGCAGGTCATGCAGAAGGTTCTCAGTTTTAATAGATACAATTAATTGGATTTGGAAAAGTTGAATTCCATCTATGTTAATCTTACGTGATTTCATTCTAAATTCTAGGGCTGTAGAAACCAATCATTTTGTAATTTGGAGTGATTTTTGATGTCAGATTAAGCAAAGAAGCTCCGTCACATCTTAAAGCAATATGCAGTTAAATAGCTTAAAAGTAGAAATAACAAAAAGTAAAGCATATTAGGATTATGATTTAGGGATACCTTTGGGTTATTGGATTGGTATTATTTTATGTCCTTAAAAAAAACCACCTCATTTATGTACCAGAGTTTTCGTTTCTGCAGAAGCTAGTAAACTGAGTTGGCTTTTTTTTTTTTGGTACCATTTTGACAGTCAAGTTAGTAAATAAAATGACTTAACAGTTTGATAACATAAGCTACTGATTAGGATTTGGAATATTCAGCTGGTGGTTTCTTCTGTGTTCAAAATAACTGCTATAGGGCCATGACTTTTAAAGGCAAAAATTTATTGTGAAAAAATTAATTGTGAAGTAACATTTTGGTATTAATCTTAACCAAATACTAGAAAATATATATCAATTCCATACCATCTCCTAAAACAAGAGTTTAAGAAAACTTGAAAGTGAAGGTTTTAACCTTTAATTTATTTTGCTTAAATACATCTGTTTATGTTTTGGGATTTTTTTGGTGACAGTTCTTTTAGTTAGTGGGCTGTTCCCGACTTTGTGTACCACTGCTTCTTTTGATTCATTGTTTGCTTTTATGTCCCATAAATTATTTTGGAAAGAAAATGCTGGTAAAACTCAGGATATTGACATTTTTGTGGAGACAAAAAAAATGGCAATCACTAATGTAGGGCACCTCTAGAGTCTGTTATATCAGTGTTGGCAGTTTAGATTGTTAACTTTGTCTTAGAGCATGATGCTAGTTCAAGTCTATTGGCTTCTGTGTATTGTCTTGTGCCTGGGATGGTGATTAGACAGTCAGACGTGATTAAGGTTTCTTATTTGAATGTGGCCATTTCTGGCCACACTGCTGTTTCCTACTAGGACTTGGGATAATGTAACCAGACTGTAACTCAAGCTGCACCCTGGGTTTGGTGGAAGTGTGCTGACTGTGCTCTTCTCCTGGGCAGAAGATGACATAGTACCCTGCAACTCAGCAGAGATTTTTAGGGCTACAAGGTCCTTGTAAATGTGGGATTGGAGCCAGGTGCTATTCCATGAACCTACTTCCCTGGAGGGCTATTAATTCCCAATACAACCAAGAAATGGTAGATTTTTTTCCTTTTTAAGTTAGGGTCCAACAGCAGTTTACTTTGGCTGGAATATCGATCTACTCATAGGGGTTGATAGATATTCAAATAACTAGGACTTACCAACACAGTCCTACTAAATCTAACAGCTGATTGATGTTGTATAATTAATTGGAGATGTAGTTAGCCCACTTGAATCTTTAAACACCTATAATAGGTGTTATATTTTAATCCCTTATTTAAAAAAATCAGAAATGGATGTCTACATGAAATTTGTGGTTACCAGTGATATGAAAAAAGCTGTAGGGAAATCAAGAGTGTGTACTCAGTGTTTGAGAAAAATTGATTCAAGCTTTCCTATTACCTATGCAAATCAGAATTGAACACGAGCAGTCATGCATAGAACAAAAACGTTAACCATTATCTTCACTATTTTATTCAAGTGGTTAAGAATGGAAGTTTTTAGTTTGGTAGATTTAGCTACCAAAAGTGAGAGTACAGAAATTGAGAGAATTCAAGTATCGAGAATGAGTAAGTTTAGAGTTTTGGGAATTGTAAAGTGACTGTTGTAACTTTGGTTGTGAGTTTGTAACTTAGGAACCATTCGGATTTGATCTGTTTTGCATCACTTTGGGTGGTTAAGGATTAGGCTGTAGTAAAAGTTGCTAGCTGCATCTCGGAAGGTGCCTTTAGACTGGTTGAGGCTGCAGATGGTGACAGCAGAGCAGCTTTTCCTGTGTCTGGCCCCTTTCAGTTGTTGGGATGCCAGTTCATATGCTTTGGACATTACTAAGAATTAGTAAGACTATAAAATATGACTCAATTTTTAAAATTCAGGTCATGAGTGTAAAATTCTCAAATTTATGTAAAAAGTAGAAGTATGTACAATTTGATATTAAAAGAAAGGAAACCGTAGCAGCTTTTGATGTTTCTTAATCCCCATTAGAGGGCTGAAACTTTGTACCTGAAGAACCCATTTAGCACTCAGTGCTTTCTGATGCCTTAGAAATAGGAAAAGTAATTTTTGTTTGACACAAGGTAGGAAAGAGAAAGTCCATTCTATGGCTAATTAGATCTGCCTCTCAGGAAAAAGTACTAACTTGTTCTTTTTGTTCCTGGCTTTCAGTTTGTGAGATTACTCTATTTTTTTAATATAATTTTATTTCTTTCAATAAATCTTAAAATAAAAACTTTTTGGAACAATGACTGTATTTCATCGTGGGTTTCTTTACATTAGATAACAAAAAGCACATGTAAACAGCTCTGAAGAGCATGCAGGCTTGGCTGTCTCCTGTTGCCTGGGGCGGGGGTGAGGGGTGGAGGTGCTTTTGTTCAAGTCTAGATTTCCCTTGGTAGACAGGGAAGTAGTTTTCTCTAAACATGAGTGCATTTTTAGTTATACCTTTAGTATTTGGTCTAAAATGTATACCAGAATAGGGAAAGTGGCAGTTGAGTTCAGCTTAATCATCTCATGTCTCAGTGTGTGGTGTCCATTTACAGAGTGGTAACAAATCCTTAAATTTTGAAGTAGATGGTCAAAGTAAGGCCCTTCCCTTAACAATGTAATTTTATAGTATGTATGCCGTCTTCAGTTACATGTTGTGTCCACAGGCGGGTTTGTAGAAATGAATTGGCTAATCTCATAAATATTTTGAGTCCAAGAAGCGGATCTGAATTGTTTTAAAGAAAGATGCCATTAAGATACTAAAGTGATCCTTCACTTCCTTCATGTGTTAGATAAATTTCTACTTGCATCCTCATGAAAATTGCATAGTAATTTCTATGGATAGTATGTCTTGTTTCATTTTTATGAATTAGTTGTAATTTGGAATCCAGTGACTTGTCTTGGGAAATTTTAGAGATTTTTCTGTGGAGGTGCCAGGCCTTTTTTAATAAAAGCACGTTGAGACCAACTTTCACTGCCTATATGGATCTGAAGAGGACATAACCGTTTTGCATAGATTTAAAAGAGAACACCATTCCCTTCAGTGTTGGCAAACCTATGGCACGGGTGCCACAGTGGGCTGTTATCACTGAAAGCTCTAGGGGCTGGGGATTTAGCTCAGTGGTTCCGCCGCCTGCCTCACAAGCACAAGGTCCTGAGTTTGATCCCCTTTGATCCCGTTACCAGAAAAAAAAAAATTCCTGAAAGCTCTAAAAGGTTCGCCATCACTGTACTAGATACTCTTCCTGCCAAACACCAGCCACTCCCTTTGAAGTAGCTGTTAGAGTCTTTCTACATCACCCCCTTTCAGTTCTACCTCCTACTGGTATCGAGCCTCTTCATCTCCCCTCATCCCACTCTTGCCTGGCCTTGGTGATGGGCTCCTCACTGGTCTTCCTGGACAGCAGTCACCACATGTTCTCCAGAACTATTCTATCATGTCCCAGGGTGACCAAGATGAGACCCAATATGGTGATATGGCTCCATTACATCTTGCCAAACTATTTTCCCTCCGTTCTCCCTCTTAGTGTTTGCAGTTCTTTAGGTTCAGAATGCAGCATCTCCTTTTGCTTTTCACTTTCAACCTGGTCTCTGCTCCCTGGCCTGTACAAGGTCAATCCTATTACTTTCTTCATAGTACTTTTCACCGAGACAACACGGTTATGCATGTTTGTAGTCTTTTTTTTTTTTTTGGTACAGGGGGATTGAACTCGGGTCCTTGTGCTTGTGAGGCAGGCGGTGGAACCACTGAGCTAAATCACCGGCCCTGTAGTCTCTTTTTAGAAGACTACAACCTCTGAGTGCAGGGATTTCATGTTTATACTGTACTGGCACAATAGATTCTCATTTGCTGAATGAATACCTAAGGCCCTTGCAGAGTTTGGGGAAGGCTTTAGCACTGTATAGCCTTCTGGAAGGGTTCCTAGTGTGTTTTTGAAGCTATACAAATTTCCGCAGAGTCTAGAGACAACTGGATACAGTTCAGGAACACAGGGTTGCAAGGATGGCTACTGCTGGCCACCTGGGTCCTATGCCATCAAAGAATGCCAGCCTGTTACTCTATGTTCCCAGTGTCTGTCCTGGACAGGGCGTTTAGTTACTGTGGTTTCTGCTTGGTTTTCATCCACATGCTTGATGATCACAGAAAACATTTATGTGGAATGGGCAGTTTTGGTAAGGAAAGTCTGGAGGGTTAGGAGGAGAAAAATGTGGTTCATTCATGTACATTTCTCAACAAAACTATCCATTTAGAGTTTCAGCCTGAGCTGAACTGGTTTCACCTGGAGGCGGGGGAAATTGAGTCCTGTACACCTGAACATGTCTGTCAGGGGTAGCAGGTGAAGAAATGCTTGGTAAACTCTACAACTCAGCTGATGCACAGAAAGACCCAATCATTTCTTTCTTTTTTTTTGGTACTGGGGATCGAACTTGTGTCCCTGTGCTTGCTGGGCAGGCGGCGGAACCACAGCTAAATCCCCGGCCCCAACCCAATTATTTCTAAAACTGCTCAGTGTCACCAGTAGGTAACTGAGGGAACACATCTGTGCAACAGCAGAAACCCTAAAGAATCGGTGCTGGAAATCTAAAAAGCAAATAAGACATGATGATTTGGAATGGATATGGGCTGTTTCTTTTGGTTTTGCTGGGGATCAAACCCAGGGTCTTGTTCATGCTAAGCCTGTGCTCTACCATTGAGCTATACCCCCAGCCCTGGCTTTTATCTCTTTGTGGTCTCATCATAAACACTTTTGTGTTACTATCATAGGAAGCAATAAATTAGTACTGAACCCCTTGACTCCTCAAAAGTCACTAGCTTGGGCTAGTTTTTTGCTATGACATCCTTTTTCTCCCCTGCTCTTCACCTCGGCTCAGAAGTGCCTGGAAGAGAGGACTGAAGAACTCGTGTGCAGAGTTCTAGAAGCCACCTGTGGGGAGGGTCAGTCCTGTTGGGCTGTGGGACAAACGGACAAGCAGAGGAAGGCCAGGAATCCCACCACTGGCAGGAGCCAGGCACAGCTGGGCCCTGGATGGCTCCCTACCTCGGAATGAAATTCTGTCTGTGGCCTTGAGGGGTATAATCCTGCTCCCTGCAGAAACCTAGCTTTGAGGTAATAACCACGTTTTAAAAAGGATCTTGCAGGGTTGGGTCAACAACTCTATTCCAGTCAAATCTCTGGCAGTGCTGTATTGATGGGTGAATCTTGGCACTGTGCTTAACCATCATATCACCTGAGAGTTGTTTGCAAACCTGTGAATCTATCTGGAGCATTTAGGGGCGCTTGTTTACATAGTTCTCTGGGCATCATCCCCGGAGATTCTAATTTGGAAGATCTGAGCCTGACTTCCAGGAACCTTTTGGCAAGTGCTCCGTGGTTCTGATGTCTGTGAGACTTGGGAACCCTTGCAGCAGATGGGAAGGTGACACTGAAGCCCAGCAGAGTCCCCAGGGCTCAATATAAGCCCCTGGGGGAGCACCTTGCCTTCATCCCGCCAGATCAGAACAGGCTGAGGCAGAGGGTGCAGGGCCTGAGCCACCATCACTGTTTTCCCGAGGCACTAGCTGGGCCATCTTCTCAGGGCTGGTGGGTCCCGAGAAGGATATAAAGGAGGATAAAGGACCGTTTAAGGAAAGCTTTTATTGCAAATTCCATTCTGCATATTGATTTTTGGGAGAAAACACTGGAAATGCATCTTTCCTAAGAACAGGAATATAAATGGCAGCAAGGTACATTTTAGTTGCTACTGAAGAACTGGATTATTTTCAATCAGAATTTTAAAGTCACTGTCATTTAAGCACAGTACAGAATTGATTAAGGGTGTGATCTTGCAGAACGTTAACAGGAAAAGCATTTTTTTCTCTCTAGGAAATGGCACTATTTGGTATGATCAAATAGTGATGCCAAGACCTGATTTCTGAGCACCATTTCTCACCACTGGAGGGCCAATCAACAGGCTGATTGATAGAGAGGGTGCAAGCCCAGCCCATGGTCTGGTTGGGCATCCTGGTGGGCTCTACTTTGGCCCAGAGAAGGGTGTAAAGGCCTTGTCACTGCCTGCCATGCATGCTTCAATTTCCTCCACAGTGCGGGGCACGCAGGTGAGCAGCTCCATGCCACTGTCAGTCACCACGACGTCCTCCTCAATACGGACCTGGGTCAGACGGACAGATGCTTATCATGACTGAACTGCCCTCCTGTGCCACATCAATGGGCCCATCCTGCTCCAGCCTGACCCCTGCTGTGTGGGTAAAGCTTTCTGAGGAAATGATTGATAACCCACAATGACAGAAGAGCTTCGTTTCAAAGCTTCTGTGGCTGACTGCCTACAGCAGAGGGGCGAACCTATGGCATGTGTGCTGTGGGCTGTTTGTATCACTGAAAGTTCTAAAAGGTTTTCCCTCACTGGGCTAGAGGAAGGCTCCTCACATGGCCATTTGGTTGTGTCACCTGCTCGCCCTGTCCTTGTCAGGTGGATGGGAGCCCCTTGAGTGAGCAGGGATTTTGGAGAATCTGTCTTTTCCTACTGAGGGGTGAGGCACCTGGCCGATGACTGACCACATGAAGGGGGAGGCCATTTTCAAGTGAGGAAGTCAAGACTGTCCCTCCTCCACCAGGTCCTCTGTCCTGAGACAAAGGTGATGAGCAGAAGCAGTGGGGTGGTGGATATTCTGGGAGCAAGAATGTGGGGTCCATGGACACTCACCCCACCAAAACTGCGAAAACGCTGCAGGACCTCCTGGTTAAAGAAGCAGGCTTGGGCCTGGTTAGCCAGGGCCTCGTCCAGAAGGTGGTCGATGAAGTAGATGCCTGGCTCCACAGTGAGCACCATGCCTGGCTCCAGCTGCCGGGCAGTGCGCAGGCTCCGAAGACCTGGCTCATCAATGCGCTCCACACCCTGTGGGGAGAGGAAAGGTGGCAGACCCAAGTGACAGCCACTGGGCTGGCTGCAAGGGGGCCACTCACGGCCTCATTGGAGGACAGCCAGACATGAGGGTTGGCTCCAGCCTTGTGGGCTCTGTGGTGATGGAGTCTCCAGCCGGACTCACCCCCACTGTGCTGGGCCACAGGCACTTCTGATAAGACCCCTGGATTTTGAATGTTCCTGGCCTTGGTTACCCTCAGAACTGCCTTCAGGAATGCTCTGATGTGCACACAGCCAGAGCAAGCTGCCCTGGTGGGCCCATGGGGCTGACTGGGTGTCCAGCTGTTGTTACCCAGGCCCAGGGAATGGCAGTAGCCAAACCAAGGAGATAACAACAGCA